ACTGTCCGCTAGCCGCAGGCCCTTAAAACCCTGTCACACAGATGCCCAGCCCGCAGGGCCCGATGTGTTCATCAGCTATCGGCGGACTACCGGTTCCCAGCTGGCCAGGTAAGACCTGACCCCACATTAACAGAAGAAGAGGTAATTCATAAAGAAACCGCGGTGTGGTTGTACGCCTCTGCCAGCCAGTCAAGTTCATAGCTATGGGACAGAAGTGAAATCACTGACCTTGACTACCAAAATCAAATCAGTTGACCCTTAAGTCCAATTGGACATTTGTGCCAAATTTGAAGAAATTCCCTCAAGATGTTCCTGAAATATCGTGATCACAAGAATCATACGCATGGACAGACGTACAACCTGAAAACATAATGGCAGACGCATAAAGATTGTTTAAATTATAGCCAGGGAAAGCACAGAGGTCATATGTAGAAATGTAAGGCAAATATTTCTGTTTGTTCATACATATCCTAAAGTCCCATTTGAGATTTTCTCATTTTCTCCACTGTCCCAAGCCTTCTGAAGGTGCACCTGCAGGTCCGAGGATACAGCGTATTCATAGATGTGGAGAAGCTAGAGGCCGGCAAATTTGAGGACAAACTGATTCAGAGCGTACAGCGGGCACGTCACTTCATACTGGTCCTGTCTTCCAATGCGCTCGACAAATGCATGGGTGACACTGCCATGAAGGACTGGGTGCATAAGGTCAGACTTAGTTAAAATCAAATATAAATATACCAGGTGGTGAAATGGATACAGTATTGCTTTGTTCTAAAGTGGTCACACTGTGTGTGTTGTAAACATGTTGACTAGCTGGTTTTAGCTGTGCAAAACATGATCTGAAAATGTCACTAACATTGTCTTCTACAGAATGCCAGAATTACAAGTACTTGTGCAATGTTTTATTCCCAGAAGTGACAGTATAGTAAACATCACATGTATGTGTGTGTGTATATATATATATATATATATATATATATATATATATAGCGTAGCAAGAAAATGGGGTCAGAGGGCTA